AAAATAATCTCTCCACCACAGAGATAACTGATTTTTCAAATACTTCTACCAGTGCATATGAAACTTAGTGTCCTATGTGCAATGTGAGGCAAGTCTACCAAAGTACAACAGAGGGCTGCGGATGGGGGTGGGGTGTACTAAACAGTTTTTAAACATCCTCACCTAAACTGGGGTACACAATATCTAACACACTCAGCATAATTTTCAGATTCCTTTCAAGAACTGCAAATGAGGAACACACAGGTAAAACACCGCATAACATTGAAAAAAAATCATTCTAACCTATAAGAGCATCCAGAAAATTACACAGGTATTATTCCATCTAAAGTCAACTTGCATATACATGAAAGAGCAAACTTTCAACCTGCATTTTCAAAGACCTTGAGGATTAGCAGACATTAACGATCTTCCTCTAAATGCAAGTTAGTGACTTTTGTTTTAGAAAAACACATCTAGTTCACTAATTGATGGATGACCATTAATACACCTGTATTTGCATTTCGGCGGTAAAAAGACAAGCAGAGGTTTTCAGCACCGAAGAGAACCACTTTGCCAAGTCTTTTCAAAGCGTCAATATGCTTCAAGTAATACCAAAGCTGAGAGATTCCTCTTGATTTCCAAAACTGTCTAGGTGGCCTGGGTGGTTTTCTGCCGGCAGCAGCCTCCTACCTTTAGTTCGTGTGCCTATATCCATGAGGGGGATTAATTAGCTGGGCTGGAGCTGAAGGAGGCTGTCGTGACGAGCCCAGTGGCGATTGGCCGCCAGCCTGCCTGGCCCTGCCTTTATAATTTCCACACGAGTGCATCTGGGCTCTGAGACAAACCGACAGCAGCTTCTTCTGACAAATACACACGCACACTCACCCCGACACACACTCAGCACACTTTTCCTCCATCTGATTAACAGTCCTGCACACACAATGATTTCGGGAAAGCGTAAATAAACACGGAAAGGGTAGATTATTTTGACTCCTGGAAGAGCTTTGCTGGGTCTCAGCACAACTTTTGTTTTTATAGCCGAGAAGGTGATCTCTCCACGCGTTTCTCTCCCACCAGGATTCTTGAAAAGAGGAAGAGAGGCAGAAAGAGGGGGGAGAGCAGTGTTTCACTTTAAGACCGGCTGGGCGCCAAGACACTAGGAGGGGACCGCGGCCTCTAGGACCCCCGCGGCGGCGCGTCGGGACCGGTTCGGAGACGCTGCGGGCGCCGGGCCGTTTCTGCACGAAGTTGGCTCCAGCTCTAGCAGCCGCATTGGATCCCACAGCCTACTGCGAGACTCCGGTGTACAATCCGGATCTCTGCCCCAACATGATCGCGGCCCAGGCCAAGCTGGTCTACCATCTGAACAAATACTACAACGAAAAATGCCAAGCCAGGAAAGCTGCCATTGCCAAAACTATCCGGGAAGTCTGCAAAGTCGTGTCCGACGTGCTTAAAGAAGTGGAAGTGCAGGAGCCCCGCTTCATCAGCTCCCTCAACGAGATGGACAACCGCTACGAGGGCCTCGAGGTCATCTCCCCCACGGAATTTGAGGTGGTGCTTTACCTTAACCAAATGGGGGTGTTCAACTTTGTGGACGACGGCTCGCTGCCCGGCTGCGCGGTGCTGAAGTTGAGCGACGGGCGCAAGAGGAGCATGTCCCTCTGGGTGGAATTCATTACCGCCTCCGGCTACCTCTCGGCGCGCAAAATCCGGTCCAGGTTTCAGACGCTGGTGGCTCAAGCGGTGGACAAATGTAGCTACAGGGATGTGGTAAAGATGGTGGCAGACACCAGCGAAGTGAAACTGCGGATCCGGGATCGGTACGTGGTGCAGATCACTCCGGCGTTTAAATGCACCGGGATCTGGCCGAGGAGTGCTGCCCACTGGCCACTTCCCCACATCCCCTGGCCGGGACCCAATCGGGTGGCGGAGGTCAAAGCGGAAGGGTTCAATCTCTTGTCCAAGGAGTGCCACTCCCTGGCCGGCAAGCAGAGCTCGGCCGAGAGCGACGCCTGGGTGCTGCAGTTCGCGGAAGCGGAGAACAGACTGCAGATGGGGGGCTGCAGAAAGAAATGCCTCTCCATCCTGAAAACCTTACGGGACCGCCACCTGGAACTGCCGGGCCAGCCCCTGAACAATTACCATATGAAAACTCTGGTTTCCTACGAGTGTGAAAAGCATCCCCGGGAGTCGGACTGGGACGAGTCTTGCCTGGGTGATCGGCTCAACGGCATTTTGCTGCAACTGATCTCCTGCCTGCAGTGCCGGCGGTGTCCTCACTACTTCTTACCCAATTTAGATCTGTTTCAAGGCAAACCTCACTCGGCGCTGGAAAACGCTGCCAAACAAACGTGGCGGCTGGCAAGAGAGATCCTGACCAACCCGAAAAGTTTGGAAAAACTTTAGAGGGCAATTTAATCAACAGCCGAAATGTGATTACTCTTCTCACCTAATTACGCGTACACTTCCTGTTCGAATCCTACCTAATATCCTACTTGACAGTACCAACAATCTCTTCCTTAAAAAGGAATACTAATACAATGTTTAGGCATCATCTCACCCACCCCTCAGAGGAGAGAAAAAAAAAAGTGGAGGGAGCGGATAAAGGAAAACCCAGACCCATAAGTATGAGAAGATTTCTTTACAAAGGATTTCATATTTCCCTTGCAAAGTACACAATGACACCCGGAAAATAACCGGCTGTAAGGCAAGACCACAGGGGACACTCTGCTAATTATCAAAGGATTATAGCAATCCTGGTGATTTAGGTGCGTCTATCTGTGAGTAAACACGATGTGGACATGCCAACTGAAGGAAAGTGTAATGTATATTTTGATTTGTAACAAATATTGTGATCTCACATTGTCTTTGAAGTGTGGATGCTGGTGTTTTGTGATTTGGTGACCAGAAGTTAAATTGCCATTTTGGATACTTCCAGACGTTTTCCACTAACAAAGATACCATTGAAAGGTAGATCTCCTTCCTCCTGGTACTTTTATCTGTCTTTGAAAGTGTCTGAACTTTAAAAAGTTTACATTTTGTTTCAAATATATTGCTTGTTCTATTTGTAACATTCCATAAATATACTTGAAATGTTATTTAAATATATTCAAAGAAATTTGAATTCAGCTTATATAATAACGCTTGAATATCTGAATTATATATTTGAAAAATGCACTTGAAATACACTGGATAATTACTTTGTGATTTAGATTTTAATTTCTGTTGCTGGATTTTATTTAATTAGAAGCTAATAAATGAGGTAAAATAAAAGTTGTTGTGTCTCACTTTAAATTGTTTTTCTATGAAAAGATGTAATGCTTCATTTTGAAAATAGAATCCACTTGAATATTTCAAACATTTTGAAAAACATGTTAATGAAATCATTAAAAATAAAACCTTTCAATGTTGGAGAAAAGCTCTTTTTGTATAGCTACAGAAGATAATCTGCTCTCAGTTTTTAACTTATTTATAAGACTATTTCTTTCCACAACAGGCACAATTTAAATTTACCCATGAAAGCTTGCTCTTCTGGGCTAGTATTTCTGTAGCATTTGGACAATATAAGGAAAAAATGTCATGCAAGTTAAGACTGCTGAGTTAAAAATCAGGCTAACTCAGAGAAAATGAACTAAACAAAGTCATGATGAAAATTTTGCAATTTTTATATGAAAACTGTTAATAATTGAAGATAATTTCTGACCATTTTATGTCAACCCTTACTTTATGCAGTATGCACCATTAGCTGAAAAAATTAATCAGAAATCCAAAATTCCTTTTTACTTCACAAGGGCAAGGTAATGACAAAAGCATAAAGACAAACTTTAAAGTATTTAAAGTCAAATATGCTACATTCAGACTCATTTGTAAAATTTAATTCTTGTGGAGCTAGAAATGAAAGAAGTCCTGTAACTATCTTTCCCGAGTGTTTTAAAAGTCAACAAGTGCGGGGAGGGCTAATCACCTATGGCCTTAAGGTTGTTAGTTAACTCAGGTGGGGGTAAATTTTGGAATTTCAATTGCTATTCTACAAATAGCATTTCATAATGCTTTATTTCTATATAAAAATTCAAAGAATAAAATTCTCGATCTACGAGAGCATTTGTCTCTATTTTAGAATAACTGCCTCTAAAAACTACTTTAAAGGAAGATCTTTGTTAAATGATTGTTGAACATCTAGCATGACACTTATGCTCTTGAATTCTTAACCTCAGGAAAAAAGTTTACAAATTGCACAGTAACACAGAAGTTAAAACAACAATAAAGTTGATGTCAGAAGACAGTTCAGAAGTGTGGAGGCCTCCTAATACTCAGGTTTTTAAATCTACACAAGATATATTCAACAAACAAATATTTATGCATTTAAATTGTCCAAGTATGTATTTGCTGTCATTACACCCACAGACGAATACACACTTTGAACACGAGAGTGCTAGTATACACTATATACATATGCACATTTTAAGTCAAAGCTTCTGGGAGAATCAGTTTCTCTTCCTCTTAAATTCACATGTAAAACCCATTGTTATTTCAGGAGATGAAAAATGGATATAATAATGGAGATGAATTTATATCTAAATGGTTTCCCCCCTCCCTTCAGTTTCCTTATAACCTTTCAATGAATAATAAGTCACACTGCAATCTACACTTTTTGAAATCCAAAGTGATATTAAGAAGAAATTTCTTAAGGCCCTTCCTAGTCATCCCAGAGAGCCTGAGATGCTGTACCCCAGGGACTTGGGAGCAATTGGCTTAACTACCACATCTGCCCAAATGCACACAAATGCACTCAGAGAGGGACTGTGAAAATGTGTCTGCACTGGTAACACAGGATTTAAAATCATTAATATGGTCTTCTGTCCCATAAAACAGAGCATGTGTTGTTTCATTCATTTTATTTTCTACGAGAAGCTGGGAATCTGCTCCCCTCCCCCACTGTCATTTAAAACCAAGCAAAACTGAAAACCACTTCCTACCACAAAGCCACCAGTACTGTACACAGAATCACTTCAACTCACTTTCGTGTCGATCTTCTTGAAAGCAGGATCATCCTCATCTACTTCGAAGTAGATTTCTGTCGTGGTGATGGAGAGAGTCCCTTTGGCCACCACCACAGGCGCGATGAGCTGGGCAGGCGTGCTGAGAACCACTGGGCCTGAAAGACAAGGACGGGCTCCAGAGTCAGGCTGAGTCCCTGTGACCCTCTCCGGCTCCCTCCCTGAGGGGTACCACAGGTTTTTATTTTTAAATATGCACTAAAAAGATGATGTTTATATTATGCGGCAAGCTCCTTTCATGTGAGATAAGGTCGGCTTCACTTTTACACATTACCTTACAACGAGACAAGGGATAAACAATTCTATAAAAACCCAAGAGGTCAGGGTACTGAATAAGTGACCCTTAGCAAGCGAGTGGCAACTTCCTCCTATAAATCCTAAATGGTTGGTGAGGCGCTGCCATTAACCGACTTAAAAGTGCAGAACGGACTCCACAAGGCCCGGGTTTCCCCATTGAGCACCCGGCTTTGCGAGAGACCCTAGGCAGGCAGCACTGTCCCCAGGAACCAGACTTCGCTTAAAGCCGGTCACTCGGCAGCGGCGCTCCCCAAGGATGGGCGGGAGGGTGTGAAGCGGAAGACGATCGAAATATATAAATCCCATTGTACCAACGGGTCTGCATCTTGCAAGGAGAGTAATATCGGCGTCCCGAGGCGCGCCACGTACACATACACGCGCACACGGACATTAAACACGTTTCTTATGTAGAAAAGAACGGAAATCGTAGTAGTGGTTTTCTCACGGAGAATCAGTCAAAAGTGATGACTAAGGCATCTGAACAAAACGATTCTCAGGAAAGCGTCCGAAAAGTTCTCCTTCCCAACTTTGGAAACTAGAGGAATTAAGATGCAGTAAAAAAGATTTTTAGAAAGTGTCTACTAAGGTGCTTCCTTCAAATTCCTCATCCTGAGTTAAAGTTGAAATTGACATATTTCACATATTAGGATATTAATTCAAAGGGGGAATTCCTTAACGGCCCCTTTAAGATTCCCCGAAGGGAAGGCATTCTTGGCTATCCTGGATTTTAAAGACCACAAACACGGAAATCAGAAATAACATCCATTCTCCTGTAGCAAGGGCTCATTATATTCCCTTCCATGCCCCCCTCAAATGCATTTAGTCCAACGAGTCACAGCAGGAGAGAGGCGATAAATAGGTTGGTCCCCCGCGGGCGCTCAGGCCCGGGCCCTCCGCGGCCGCTGCTCACGGAGAGCGGCTCGCAAGGCCAAGGCCACGGCCGCCGCGAGCAGGCCCAGCCGGCGGGGCCCGGGGACGGTGGCGGTGGTCGCGTTCCCAGGGAGAAGCGCACACCCCAGCGCGAGCACTCGCACAAAGCCGGCCGCCCTGCGGCCCGAGGCACAGCGAGGGCACGGCCGGCTCCCGTCGTGCTGGAAGGGGAGGATGTGAAGCAAAGTGTGTGTCAGCCTACGTACACCCCCGACCGTGACCGCCTGGCCGGACGGACGCGAAGCCCGCTCGTTTATTTTACTGCTTTCTCTCCCCCTGGAGCCCGCACGGGGGCCCGGCGGGGGTCTCGGGCCGGCAGCTTCCGCCGCGGAGCCAGCGGAGCCGGGGTCCACCTCGGCCCACGAGGTTTTTCTTTCCAAAGGGCGAGGCGGTCGATCTGAAGCGCCGCTTTAAAGGCTCATCAATCTTAATCTAGGTTGCTCAAGTAATTATGCCCGAATCTCTTGTACGATTACAAGTGGATTTGGGTTTCTATTCCCCAGGCCCTCCTTTGTGTTTATTGGAGGGTCTGTGCGCGCGCTCGGCGGCGCCCCTGCCTCCCGCGCCCTCCTCGCGATCCCCCGTCGCCAGGGCCGCTTCCAGCCGCTCCCTTAACCCTTAAACCGCCAGGGCTCCTTTGGATGCCATTCTTCATCTTTATTTCCCTTCTGGATGAATCCAGGAGGTTTACTCTGATATGGGGCGAGGTGAGAAAGGTGACGTGATTCACATTAGAAACAAAGTGTCTTCTTATATACATCTTTGGGCCTTGCTAAATAAACCTTAAAAAGCTCGTCATTCTATGCACAGAAGGCTAGTGATTTTTGGTTTAATAGAGGTTTCTGGCATTTGGAGACGAAGAGTGGTTAAAAACATTAAAAATGGCGAACTGCCTCTTTCTCTTAAAAAAAGTAATTTAACATATCCAAACAATTAAATAGGAAAATTTGAAAAAAAAATCACAAAACCTATTATGAAAACCATACACACTGATTTACCGAAATATATTACGAATTTAAGTGCAATTCCGTAAACTTTTAACAGAGAACACATTTTCTCCACGTTTCTCTGCGTTTTCGAAAGGAGACTGCGCTTCGTTTTGATTTTACTCCAATCTCGTTCTACTGAATTGACATTTTCTGGGGTGGTCTAGAAGGGCTTCAAACTGGTTCTTCTTGAAGAAAGACACTTCATAAAATACTCAGCCTTAGTAGTGTGTCATTTTTACCCCTGTCCTTTGGAAATCTCCAATTACACCTTCCAATTCCATAGCATGTTTAAGGAGCAGTGAGTCTTTTTGCTGTACCCTTTAGGAAGCAAACCAGTCACAGGGAGAAGGCAAAGGGAACCCACTACACCAATAAAGAGAGGGGATTATGCTTTAATCCCTTTTGGGGGAGCCTCATGATTTTAGGGATCTGATATTAAAATGTTTACGTGGGGCAGTCATTAACCCGCAGACCTTCCATCTGGGAGATCTGGTTATTTGAAAATTTCAATCCCTTTCCAAATAAAAATAGTTTTAAAAGGGAAGCATCTCTAGATGCCAGAGAGATGGGGATCTAGCAGGTTCTGTTCTAGAAGATAACTTGGTTCATATGTAAACTCCTAATTTTGCTTAGTGTAGTGAGTTGGGGACTGACTGTAGATATATTCATTCTAATTATTACTGTAACAATAGAAGGATACATTATAATCATGTCCGCAGCACACATACAAGTGATGCATATGAAAGGGTAATCAAGTGGATGGGACAAAACCTCCTGCCCTTATTGATGCCTATGATAGCTTAAAGTAATTACAGGAAAAAAAAAGTTATTTATGTTTTAGAATTGGAAATATAATGTTTAAGAAATATTGATTCATAACTATTTTTAAATTACTTGTCATTAATTTAAATGCAAATTGAAAATCTGAAGCAGAACAAACGAGTTCCCCAAGCATAATAAAAAGAATCTTTAAAGGAATGAACTTCTTTTTAGAGCCATAGGATCTTTAGTCAGTTAAGATGGTAAACCTAGAATAAGAAATACATATGTTTTATATTTGAAAAGGGAACTATTCATCAAATATATTTTAAAAGTAGAATGTTAAAAAAATAGTTGTGGGTTTGGATGAATTTACTGAAAACAAAATTCCATGCCTAGAAATCTTAATAATAACACGCAACTTTTTAATAGAACTTTAATTTACAAAGTTCTTTTACATTTTTACGTCACTACTGGTTCAATATTCATAATTTGGGGCTATGGATGTGTCAGATACCTTCCTGCCAAACACATCCAGGAACACATCTGTAGTTGAACAAGTTGGGTTTACTGCTCGTTGCAAAGAGGGAGGCATGGGTACTACGGGGCGACTTAGTGAGAGGGTGTCGGAAGGACTTTTTGTGAGATGAGGCTTTGGTTAAATGACTTTAGCAAGGGTTCAAGGAGGGACACAGGGCCTTACTCTGGATCAGGCTCTGTAAAGAAGCAGGGCTAATTCTGTGATTGGTGTCTAAATAAATCTTTAAATAGAGAGATGGAAGACTAGGTCTAGGCTATTGCTGTAATTGGCAAAGAAGTAGCAGTCACTATTTAGCCAGAAGAGAGGATGTCTGGTATTTAGGTGGCATGCAGAGTGACCGTATTTTTGTCTGTGCTTAGGCAAAATTATAAAGCTGTTTTTTTGCCTCACATCATCATCATGTGACTGCGTCTGACGTTGGTGTTCTATGAGGTTGTGTTCAAAAGGAGAACACCATGGCCTAGCTGTGAGCTCCATCCAGGCCAGCTCCCAGCAATACCGAGGCCTCCTTGTAAGGGTCAGACCACTTTCCAGAGGTCAGGGGCTGCTTTCCTTTTTCTCAGATACAGGAATTAATCATTTTTAGGGGGGTCAAAAGCATTCTAGCTATTAAAAGGCAATTAGGGCAATTAGATTTTTAAATGGTGCTAAGAATCTTTACAAGTTGCAATATGGAAGAAAACAAGAATATATATAGGGACAAAGAATTGAATTCAAATTGGTATCATTACAATTAGCTGATGACTTTAAACTGGCAAAAATATATGTGTATATGAAATTACAATGTATTTTAGAATCACTTGAATATTTTCCAAACTTAGTATAATATTAGTAAAAGTTCTATTAGCTATATGATTTTCTCCAACCTCAATTACTTTGAAACCACATGTTCAATTTGTTTTTGGAACATGTAAAAGGCATTTATTTTACGATATAAACAAGGACTTATCTTTGTAAAATTATTACACTTAAACTCCTGACATTATTTAGAAGAAACCATATCTGAAATTCTTTATGTTTAGTGAAAAATAATATTCCAAACATTTTTTAAGACAAAAATATGAGAAAGTAAATTTTTTACAATTATTTCTATAATATGATAAAATCTGTAGGAAAATTACAGCAGGAGTGAACATATCTAAAATATTTATCACTGCTTTGGACTTATTCTTAAGTATTGCACTATCAATTTAAGAGAAATGTTTTCCCCATAGAATTAAAATAACAAAATGCTTTAATCTCAAAACAAAATAAATTACTGAAGAGTATGAGAAAGTTGGAACTTTGTTTCAGAATCCCAGGAAAGCTTTATTAGGCATTAAGAAAACAGAGATGTTTGTGTTTGTGCCTGGGGGCGAAAGAAGTGAGGGGGAAAATGCTGCAGAAAATCTTAGATTGCTGTTATCCAGGATAATTCCCTGGGTTTCAAGCATTTAAAACGCCTCAAGGGTAAAGAAAGTAGAATAACAAAATCTCAGTGACACTTTTCTTATGTACACAGACTATTGATAGTGGTCCAAATATATTATCAGAATAATGATCCTCTGAAATTTTCAAAAGCTTTTCTTGCATGAAAAGTTAT